GGCTGGTATTTCATTGAAGTGTATATGATTAATACTTCTATCAACTTAGAGAAAAAAAGGTATTCTTGTTTTGTAATTGTTAGTTCAGTGATCGAAATACGACTCTTGCAATATCACCTGAGACCAGGTTAAACATTTTGATTCTTCGCCAACTCTTAATATTTCCTTTACAGTACGAACAGATCACGAGGAAACAAAGGTCACACTGAATAGAGAAAAAGATGTTCAGACGCATTTTATCGACCGCGTAAAACGCAACACTCCTCACATATCTCGTGATGTCTTGAATTCGATTCGCATGGAAGTACGCAATCACATTTTAAACCTCACGGCATCGCAGTTTTGTCAAGTGCCTGATAAGATTTGCACTCGTGGAGCTCCGGGTAAAAGAGGACTAAGGGGGAGAAGAGGGTCTCGTGGAAGAAGAGGTCGACCAGGTCATAAGGGAATAAAAGGCCTTCCTGGAAAGTACGGTAAACAAGGACTACGAGGATTTCCTGGACAAAAGGGACAAAAGGGCGATATCGGAAATCGAGGACCGCCAGGTCTGCCGGGACCGAAAGGGGAACGAGGGAAAGAGGTTACTGAGCCTTCGGTACTTATTTCACCATCGACACTGACAGTTACTGAGAACCAGACAGCTACCTTTCATTGCAATGCTCACGGTTATCCCAAACCACAGATAACATGGAAAATGGTATCTGGAAAACAGATTGATTTTGGTAAAACCCGAATAGACAAATCAGGATTGCTTGAAATCTCGAATGTGAGTGAAAACGATACAGGAAACTACACGTGCTCTGCAAAGAGTGTTCTCGGTGAGGATGCAAATACGGTATCACTTCTTGTCAAATGTAAGTAAACGAGGTTTATTCGCTTTTTATCATCTTTCACCGTTGGAAGGATTTGAAAATCATGTGACAGTGTAGAATTTCATTTTGCATTTGATAATTTATGCAGGTGATTGGGACCTGTGCATCAAGATCCCCTCCGACCCTTTCAAGGGCAAAAGTCCGGTCCAACTCATATGTCTGGTCATGATGACCTCTGATTTATGAGGTTATTGCAAAACTAGACGCATAACTACGTGAACTCTCGCTTTCTGTAGTCTTGTTAAATTATGCGCATGTTTAGAACTATCATAGCTGCGTACGCATGCGATGATNCGCCGCTTTCACGCGAGTAAGTACTATCAATTTTAATTTCTACAAAAAAGAAAAAAGCCTCTTATATTTGGATTTGACCATAACGTAAGCTAACCTATTATTCAAATCCACGTTTTGTTTAATTTTTGCTCATTATTTGGATATTTTGCCTGCAGGCTCAGTGTCGAGCTGTAACCCAGGCTAGATATTTTCGATAACGTGTCTGCTAATCGCCTCACATAATTTATTTCACAGTTCCACCTAGATTCACCGAGGTACAGAAGCCATTTCAAACAATTCTTCAAGGGAGTACTGTGAATTTAAAATGCGCTGCATTGGGTTATCCACCACCAATCATCACCTGGACTAAAATGCTTGGTTCTCTTCCTACAAAACGAAGTCAGCAAAATGGCGGGAAACTGACCATAACTAGATTCCAGCAAAGTGATAGTGGATCTTATAAATGTGAAGCTGTGAACTCCGTCGGGAAAAATATATTCTACACGACATTGAGCTTTGGTAACAGCAATTCATGTGTTGTTTATAACGCTGACTAGAACCTTTCATACGAACTCCTAGATTTTATATCCGCAAATGTTTTTTGTTTGGACACAGCGCTTATAGTGTCTCCGAAAAATTGTGTATGCGAAAGCTCAGRACTCGCGTTGACGAAGTTTGATAATGTAAGGTATAAAACACACTAATTCCAAAGATGTTGTCATAGAAAAAGAGCACATTTATACGTAAGAAGGCTGAATACTTTTTATTTTTGATATACACCTATTTCAAGAAATTAAACGTTGAATTGTCGGTGAAAAAATTGACGGCGATTGTCGAATGGAGATTGTATGACCGAGAGTGACTATGGCAACCGCAGTTTGACAAATGAATGATTTTGGTTGATCGAGTCATGTTGCTGGAATATGTGTACTATATGTAACCACCGCTACTAGCTACAAGCTATATTCAAATAATCCAGTAGTTTATAAGTCGATGGCATTATGCTGTGATACGAGTTGCTCGCGGAAAGTATCCGAAAAACAAAAACGCGTAGAGCTAAACTGCTTTATTGCAGTCAACAAAAAGATTGAATGAACCCGCTAGAACAGGTCACATGGTCGATTCTCCATCAATTAGTCTGAAAGAAAATTTGTTGTTGGCTTACGCTAGTTATTATTTCCCACCAATTAGCAAAGCCCATGGCTTCTTTCKGTCGTGAAATCTCCATCGGCATTCACCACATTTAATAGGGCAACATTCTTTTGGAATTATATATTCAACTTTTTTAAGTACACCGTTTTAGCAGGTGTACATGTGCGTACTAGACAACTTTGCAACATTCCATAATCACAATATAACGTGGTTCACAAAGATTATTTTTTGTGGAAGTTACGACGTATCGGTTCTTGTTGTAAGTTTATGTCCCTTCGATCCAGGACAACGCGATAGAACTATCTGATGACTATATACTCTATTCATTCTATTTCTAATTTGTAATATTGTTTTACATAGGGACATGTACTAGGCGCAAGGCACTTGGTATGCAAAGTAAGGCTATCCGTGACTCSCAGATTACAGCTTCCTCGTCCTATAGYTCMGSMTATCTCCCTTMTTATGGTAGACTTAACATAGTCCTTRGTWATGGTGGATGGCTGGCTAAATCAAATACAAWAGGASAGTGGATACAAGTTGACYTKCTTCAAGCAACTAGAATTACAGCAATTGCAACTCAAGGTACTTCTAAGTATGATGAATGGACGACAAGYTACAGTCTTCAGTACAGCKACGATGGAACTAGCTTYAGAGACTATGAAGGGGGAAAGACTTTACCTGGAAATTCAGATCGATCAACAGTTGTAAAAAATAACCTTGATCCTGCTATAGCTGCCAGGTATATTAGACTTCTACCAAAGACATACCATAGCTACATGGTTATTAGAATGGAACTTTATGGATGCCAACTATAAAACCAAACTGTAAATGTAAAAAGCTATTATAACTGCTTTTAGTGCACATGACATCTTTTAGAAAATTATTTTTATCGAAAAGGGATCATGACGCTGAGCACTCTACGAAAATAAAGAAAAAATGATTACGAAGGAAATAAAAATCTGAATTTATATAGCTTGGGACAAAACGGTTTTACAGATTGAAAATGCTAATGAACTGAAAACAAACAAGGAATAACTTTCGATTTTAAAATATGGAAGACATGGGGTCGGAGTTAATAGTGCTTGCAAATTGCTGTATATTTGATATAATCATATATCTTTTTTCTTACTTTGTACCAGTTTTGTTGCTTTTTTAGCATTTAATTGCGTTGCTCTATTATTTTGAATTGTAAAACTGAACACTCGCTCATATAATCGAATCGGTAGCCTGCGTACATATTCGGATTATTTTCAAAATTAACCGTCTGCGCATCAGTGCACAATATCGTGTTCTGGGACCCCCCCGCATACGATTTGCTACCTGATGACGATTGGTTGTTTTAAGGGTTTTTCTATGGATTGGCCATAAGTCATTTGTCCGTTGTTTTTTAAAAACGCGTAGGAGAAATAAACAGTTTACAAACTGAAAGCTGATCTCTTACTCTGATATTAAAGTGAAGGTATAAAGAAGGTCCTTACAATTTTTGTAGAAAATCTACCTTATAGTGGACTATTTCAAATCCTACATTCTGATTGGCTTCGCTACTCGGGGTCTATTTTCTTAGTGAAAAGGGCAAATGTTTATTTGCTTTTAGAAATATTGTAGGTCAAATTTACGTGTTAAGTACAATTTTAATAGTTTCTTTTTTCAATGAAACCAGCTTTCACCAGCGTGTTGGGAATTGATTTTAACCACAGGGCACCCAGGCTCAGAACTTGTATTGCTTTCACGGCGGAGTCCATGTATTGCGTGTTGCACGGTTCGAGCCCTAGATGAAGCCGTGAATTTTTCTCTTTCATTTTCTAAAACTTTTCAAGACTTTCTCTTTTTTCCTTCTTCTTTATCTAATAAGTATAAACATTTCTA